AGGCTCGTGAATACGAGAGATAGGTCCTGCAACCAGGATCGTATATTTTATGCGGGTTCATAAAATTCGGCGATGAGCAAGGAACTGTGTCATTTAGAGGGGGGATGCTAGGCTCCTGCCTGAAGTCGAAGGGGTGAGTCGAGAAGGAGTATGGAAAAGAGCAGGTAAGACCATTGGTTTACACCACTGTAATGTCCAGCTGATCTGGTGGTTGGGTAGACGTGGAGTAGCTGGGATAAGGATACAACTTACGCTTCTCCACTGCTGATACAACCGTTAACATGAGAGTGAGGAAATAGGAAAATCTGCGACTTATCGAATTGCTGTCATCAGTGTGGATTCGCGAGTGTCCGGCCATCATGGTCGACCCATGAGAAAAGTGGTCTGATTACAATAAGTGGGCTGGGCATTGGGTCTTTTCGATCGTAAAGTTTGATAGAGCATCTCGAAGGGCAGTACAGCATTCGGCATTTAATTAACCTCGATTAACAATTAAAAGTTCTGGTTGCAGTAGATGCTCATTATACTGATCGTACTCCCTCACTAACCCCGCTTCTAGAGTTCCACCAAGAACTTTAGTAATTATCTTGGGTGTTTGGATTACCCATAATTTTATGGAAAGGCAGTAGATTATCAAAAAACATCCGTTTTATAGTGGGCTGTATATTCCTTTGGCATAGCGTACTCTAACAAGTGAAGTGACCTTCACGGGCAATTTTGCGGGAAGTTTCTGCTTGGGCATAAAGGCCCAGCAAATCGCGACAAGGCGATGAACAGTGAGCCGAGGTTCTTTGAATACGTGGAACTTTTTGCACAAGAGGTGGTTGACTGTAGTTCACAGTATGGAACTGACGGACGGACTGCATATGTTGCCGAAAATATTGCTGGGCCGCCTAATATTTATCCAGTACATGGCGATGCAACAAGTTCTTTTGCATTTGTAAGTCACGACACGCTTGCTTCCAGAGTAAATGTTGGGGCACTTTGTAGTTTTTTTCAATTTTAGCCTACCATAAAGTGCTCCTGGAGGAAGTCGGCGGTAAGCGGCACGATCGCGGTTACTCATATATGAGTACCTGCTGCATACTCATGAGTATGCAGCAGGTTCTCGGCCGTGGAGCAGCGTCCCCCCGGCGAGGGACGGCGTTTCCTAATCTTCGAGTTTAGTAATCCTTTCACAGACAGGTGGAGAAACCATTTGAAATGTTTCCATCCTGTTCTTAACATCTCCAATCCTCGTGCCTGATACGACTGTTCCACTTCGATATCAGACTGAAGCGTAGTGCATTACTGCAAAGATCGTGCAGCAGCTCAAATGCTAAAAGATCGCATCGGCGTCTTAAAACTATGTCTTCGCACATATTCAAACGAGTGGTTACGTTATTTTGAAGGCCAGCGACCATCCTGATTCATTTGTGCACATGATCAAAACATACGCTTAACCATTTTTTGCCCTTTAATAGGTGGATGTTCCGATCAAAGGTAGTCAATGCAGGTGACTGCCCATCTTTGTTTCCTACGTAATTTTGCTGATGCAGGGGATTACTGCTGGTTTTATTCTACACTGCGCTTTCGCCTCCCCTTTAGCGAAACTATGGCACGAGGTGGCCTAGCATCTCTTCTTCAATGTCTTCCATATCTGGTGGTGGTGAAGCTTATCCAAGCACTGACTATATTGACTGCTTCTTCGACCGAGCGCTGATCGTTACGTCAATCCAAATATTTGAGACGTATTTTCCCGGAGCTGTAGTGGCTATCCGGGCATGTTACAGAGATCAACCAGCGGACAAACCTGTTAATGCCCGAGGTCTTTATTGGGTCACACTCTGGCAAGCCTCCTCTGAGAGTCCACATAACGCAGTGACGGGGGATAACTCTATTCTTCCTGCTTCCGCAACGCAATCAATGCACGAAATCGAGGCCCGAATATTTGAACCACCTTTTGTGAGTTTGCGAAATTCCCTGCCGTGCCATTCCCTTTTATCTAAGTAGAACAGTTTTTGCCCAATGTTCAGATTGTGCAATGTTTTACCCGACACAGTCGTGAGCGATAGATGTTTATTCATTAGACAAGTAAATGCCACTGTCTCTTCCGCTGTCCAGCTTGAAAGTTTTCTATCCCTTTATTGCTTTGTTTTTAAGGGCAGTTACGCACAGATACTGCAGTTTCGCACGTTCGTAGATGAATTATATCCCTCTTGCTTATTGACGTTATATAAACAATAGGTCGCCGTGTTATTTACGTTAGACAGTCATTTGAGTCATTAAAATCAGCCAAGACACCTATTAGTTTAACGCTGGCTGCAGTCGTCAGATGGATTGGAGCTTGATTGCTTATGAAAATCTGTTTTTGCAGTCAGCCTACCACATTGAATTGATGGATATTTATGCCACAGAGGTTAGACGGGTAATTTATCACAAATACAAAGGACTAAAACCCTCCCTCCAGTTGGCAAAGTACTAGCACTACCGGGGCCTTGCCACTTGAACCCCGCCGAGACCACGTTTTACAGCCAGGTGGTCGGCTAACTTCATCTATTTACTCTGACATTTAACATGATTTGTTGCTCCTCACCGTTCTACTGCTTTGCCTAATGATGCCGTTTGCCAAGTGACACTGGCTTCGCGGTTGCCGTCAGTCCACTGTTGTCCAAAACGCCGATTCGTTTGAGCACTTTTCTACTTCAGTCAATTCAACCAGTTACACAAATTCTGATTGGAAGCGTTATTCACCAAACAGATCTGGATTTTTCTCGAGCACAAAGCTTGTGCGAAGTACATTCGATAGCCTAGAAAATGCCGGTTCCACTAACATTCAAGCTGTCAGGCATCCAATATGCCGACGGATGCTGGAATGCATAACCTCTTTACGTCTGGCGATTTAGCAGTTGCCAGCCAATTGTCAGCGAGGGCGTGAAGGGTAGCGTCTGGAATACCGATTGGCCTGCAATTTGCCGTAATCCTAGTTAACAGCATTTTGTGTAACCACTGTTGGCAATCATTAAATGAGCTCTGTTGCAACGTCTTCCTTGTGAGCTTTCCTAAGCTAGCTAGATTGCTAACATGGACAACCTCAATTAAACAATCCAGGTGGTTGCCTTGAACTCTCACAAATGTGAATTTCGTATTAACTCCCATGATGCAGGTGTCGATGCGTGATATTGCCATCCATGTTGCTTCGTTCACGGGAATTGACATTCCACACCCCTGATCAAGTGATACTGACTCCTCAGTTTAAAGTGGGCCTCTAGTTTTCCAATCCTGACTGGCCACTGAAGTAGCCTGATCGCACTTGGCATCTCATCAGTAAATCGCGTATTGGGTTGCTGTGGGCTTGGTTTTCGATGGGTCACTGAAAACACTTTGTTGAGTTGGTATAGATTATTTGCCCCCAACATTGCTGCGAATGTCTGCCAACGATTGTCTTGCTGCCAGTCAGCTCATGAGTGACTCTGACATTTAAAGCGTATAGTTGGTGCCGTCAATTTTTTAAACCACCATTCCAGATATGTGGCCCGGAAATTTGTCAGATTAAAGTTCGCGACAGAACAACGCGCAAAAATCACTGAATTTCATTTTTTTTAAATGAACGTTCTATTGTCCTGGCGTAGAACGCGCACAAGCGCTACTTCTGTCATGAATCCGTCTATGAAATCAGCAACCTATCATTTGGTTTTCTTTTTATTTTCAGGAGCAGAGGTTTTTATTGATTTGAGAGAAGCATGGAAAATGTTAAACATGTGTACTAGGATAGTTCGGCGAAAAAGTGGGAAGTCCACTGAAGAGAATTGTCGCGAGCATAGTCTCGTGGCTGTAGCTGCAGCGCCTGTAAGCGCATTTGCATATGTATCCGTACAAGGTGCAGTTTGTGCATAAATTATTGCCTGTAGATTATCGATAATGGCCAGTCTAAAGTCCGAATTTCATGGGTGGATAAAGAAGGCATCAGCCTTTTTCGTACTTTTATTATGAAACATATGGCCCAGGTGGATCTGTGAATAAGCTAAGTGCTGTCTTTTTTTAGTCGGTAAATAGTGCCGAAACTGGAACTGCTTATGAAACAAATCCAATTTTTGTTTTCGAAAGCTTGGAAACCACCTCGTTCCTGCCCTAAATGCTTCGTGTCGAAAACCTCACTGTCATAAAATAAGTAGGCGTATATTTCCTGAAACAGAAAACAAAAATTCGCCATCTCTCCCTCTAGCCTGGTTTGAAGGGCAGCACAGCATAAAATGGTCATTCAACCGCTTGGCACCTCATACTGAGGAGTACAGGCCATAGATTCGCCCGGAGTCAGTTATCATCGTGTCCTCTTGCGCCTTTAGTTAGACACCTCGATTCCGTCATGACATTATGGACGACTTCAGACCGGGGCTCCACAGGTCTGAACCATCTCCGTCGGCGAGAAGCAAGGACCTAGTTGAGGCTTTGGGTTGCCGACGAGTTTGGCTGCCTCATAAATCCCTAACCTGGTCGCCATGCTGATATCATGCCAGTTGCAGAGGTTCCTGCGGGGTTGCCCGTGGGTAGTGCTCGTCGGATTGATACAGTCGTCTATTTCATTCTGATCGTGCCTGTTTGACAGAAAGTTCGACCCAAAATAACAAAATCTGCTCACCGTATGCCTCGACCGGACAGACATGCCCAGCAGCAGTCATATTTCGTTTGTTGAGAATTGTTTTAAACACATTTCCGCCGCCCTCGCACTTATGCTGGATACCGCATGCCGTACTTCTGCGAAAGACCTCCACGGCACAGCACCGTCGTCAGATGATTCAGGATCCGTAATGCATCTACCAGACCTGCGGTATCGCGAGGGACCAGAGGTTATGAGGAACGTAGCTTTGGTGTGACATCGCAGGTCGCCCTCCTGGTTCTTCTTGTTCTGATTTCTTAAGTACCTTATCATGCATAATGAACGGGGAAAACTTTTACGAAACAGGCGAGTGAGTTGTTAGTAGCTGGGCTTTTGTCCTGTGGTTCGACGAAGCGAGAGGTGCTAGTCGACAAGTCCTCGCGAAAGAGAGGCCGCTTACCTGTGGGCAAGGACTTTCAGCTGGAGAATTGGTTAGTTTAAGGCGTCTCGGGACCAAGTTGCTATCAAATGGGCAAGGGGGTTGACCTTATCACTCTACTTAATGCGGCTTAGATTGATCGAAGATGTCCTCGTGCGCGTAGTATGTTTATTAAACAATTCTATCAGACAAAATGCTTATCAGTTTGAGCAGATGTCTATGTTGACTTATACTCGGGCAGTTTCCTACGCTACTAGCTCATCTAGGCTAAGTTTACTCATCCATGCATATTTTTCTGTTAGAGTAGTTTGACCTCGAACGTTTTGCCAAACGGAGCAACGTAACATTCTTTTAAGTGTTCCTTTTGTGTTTTTATTGTACTTAAAGTCGTCCCCTATTCATTGGGAGTTTTGGTCGATCTATTTCGGCCGTTTTTCGAGCAATTAGATGTTTCATAAATGTACGTACAGTATGTGGGCTAATTCATGAAATGTCAACCGAAATTCCGAAATGCGTTTTCGTTTTGAAAAGGTTCATTAAATAAGGTTGTAAAACCAATCATCACGTAGCGTAATTCTATAATAACTCAGTTGCCTCAGGGTGTCGGCTTTCGAACGAACTTCTTTCCGGGTGTATGCAGAAATGGCCGTTCATAAAACGTCATATCTCTGCATTTACCAATGTGGCTTGTAAAGTTAACAATATGGCTCGAATCCACTGCTAAATTTTATTAACCCCATATGGTCTCCTCTTAATACCGTAGAGAAATGTATGGATTTCCGTACACGGAAAATATACGGCTTGTGGTTTGGAAACCCTGAATGCAAGTGCAACGGCAGGTCGGGGTTCAGAATTGGAAAAGTTTCTAAAAACCGAATTATACCCTTCCTTGGAGTATAAAGTTAGAATAGGACATAATTTTCTACCGAATGAGCAAGAGGATGAATATTTTTATGCATGTTTTCCATGAAATATAATAAAATTGTTGGGGATATCGAAAATCAATGGGAAAAGTGCATGCAACTTAAGTAGTCATTTTTGCAGAGTAAAGTTGTTGAATGCAGCCGGAAAGAAGTTATTTCGAAAGCCGGCATCCTGAGGTAACTGAATTATTATAGATTACGCTGTACGACCCTACTTACCTAATCTTCTCGAAACGAAAACACATTTCGGAATTTCGGTTGGCATTTTACGAGTTAGCCCACCTACTGCACATGTCATGTGTTAGGCTACGTCCTGTATGTATATATTTGTGTACGCGCGCGTATGTGCGTATCTTTTACTTTTTTCTTATCCAGTCGCACATTCCCTTGGTGCCCACTGACCTTATACGCGTAGAATTTGATACGCGCCGGACTGCCTACTTCACCCAAGTGGATGCCATACGGGCGAAGGGATACGCTCCGGTATCGCCCGATGCCGCCCAACGCCTGCGAGAGATGAACGCTGGAGTTGCACAGTCAAAGTCCCGCACCAACTGCTATCGTGTCCTCCTGGCCGACGAGACTGAGGACTCCTTCTCTTCTCCGAGTGGCGGGGACTTTAGCCAGCTGAGCATATCTCCTGCAAAATGCCTCCTTCCCAATGTGGTAGGTTTTAGATTTTTCTTGTTCCAAGCCGAGACTGGCATCGCACCAGCTGGTGCTCCACATCTTAGCACATTTACCTCCTTCTCCCTAGCCTGCCAACCCGGATGACGTTGACGACACTCCCGACGGGCCTGCGACCATTCTTCCCGGTCCTGAGCAGGTCGACAACGCTCTAATCGCTGCCCGCTCCTCTCTCCTATGTCCACTCTCAATGGCAGTTTATGACCCCCCTCAACTGTCCTCAATAACACTTTTGACACAGTCTACACTCATGACCTACCGAAGCTCGCATTTCTACCGAAACAGTCCTCTTATGTGTCTTCCGGTAGGTCGATTTCATTGTTTCCATTACTTCACATAACTTTATGTTGACAAGAGAAGGTTTGACGGACAAATGGAGCGGTTTCGTCGATATCCTGACACTGCATGACACAGCTGCGGAGCGATCGGTGCGTCAGTGGGTCCCCCGGCGGTTATCCCGCGATGAGTAGAAGTGCTATGCATTCCGAGACGATATAATGAAAAAAGAAGAGGTTCTTCGGAAAAACGATCGAGTTGTACTCGTGAATTTTCGAATTGGTGACACCAACCCGTCGTCAGACGAAATGAAGATAAAAGAGAGAGTGAGACAGTCACACCAGACTAGTCGACACGACAGGACAAACATTGACGGACGAACCATTAGCGTGTGAGGAGGGATGCGGGCAGGGAGTCATGCTGGGTTCTGAGCCGCTGTGTCGGCGTGCTCGTTGGCCTCCCCCTCGTCAGACGGCGGGCTGATCGATCGTTGTTCCTTAGGCGTGGTGTTTCGGGCCTCGCGAGTACGTCCGTGAGGCAGTGTGCCACAACGGTCACGTGGCATTCGGTCAGCGCCTTCCCCGCTGTCCGCGAGCGTCGGCAGTCGACATCGTGTGACTGTTTTTATCCGTGCTGTTGGCCCTTCCTGGACTGACTCGAGCCTTGTGCGGAGCGCCTGGTATGCGGGATGTAGGTCTATGTCTCGGTTGAGTGTGCCAGTCGAGGACCAACTTTCGAGCATCGGCCTGGCCATTTTATCATTGGAACGGCCGACCACACTCGCTTTCTCAAAGGCGAAACTGGGGTTCCGCTCCAGTGTGTGGCCATACACCAACGACAGCTTATCCTTGCGGTTGGTTGCAAGCTGGTGCTCGTGCACTCTTGTGCCGAGGCATTTTCCCGTTTCACCAGCATACCTTGCATCACAATTTTGGCATGGGATGCCGTAGACCACCGCTGATTTTTCTGTCACCGGTAGCGGGTCTTTGGGCCTCATGATCTGCTGTCTGATTGTTGATGCTGGTTTATGGCCCACCCCAATTCCCTTGGGGTCGCTCAACGGTCGTCATGGATAAGACCGAATACAGAACTAAACTGGAGAACCTGTGTGGGCCGTTTTTTGAGCTGTTAATTGAAAGTAATTAATCCTTTCAAGTTTTGAGACTTACAAATGTTCCCACAAAGTTGGACTTGCTCCAAACGTTCCTCATAACGCAGCTCTGTGCATTTTTCACAGGGTAACGGGCTCGTGGCCCGGTGGGTAGAGGCGTGGACTTCTAAACCAACAGGTCGCGAGTTCGAGGTTCGGGTGTTTTACACTTCGGGCTTGGGTATGGCTGGCTGACGACGGCTAATAAGCCAGAAATGGCCATTCCAGTCTCCCTTGTCTTTGTCGGCAATACCATTCTGCCTACATTTTTCACATTGTAGGACGATGTCCTGCTCCGTATCTTCTCCCTTCTCGACCTCCGACATCTTTGTCGCGTCTCGAGTGTATGTCGGTAAGCCCTTGTCGTCATCATATTCACTACTAGTGTCATTTTTGCCTCCACGAACAAAGGGCTTCCCCTTTTGTTCTCTCCATGCTCGATTGGTCCCTTGCCATATTATTTTTTCAGGTGGCTGTTAAAATCCTCCCGGAGTAGCCCTAGTTATGTCAGTCCACCTCAGCCTCAAAGTTTCATGGCTTTTAAACCGGCGCCTCCGTCCTCTTTTGTTCTTGTGTCAGTTAACCCATTTTTGAGCAGACTCCCACAACTTAGCTGTCTGTATCGAATTCCAGGCAAGTTTTGCTCCAGCACCTGTAATGACCGGTTTTTAGTAAATCTCTTCCCTGCTGACCTGATAACGACGAATTGCACCAAATTCCCGCTCACTAGAATGCCTTCATCTCGGTACAGGACAGTTCAATCGTCGTTTCTGACGATATCCACCGCGTACCCCACAGCAGGGTGCGGGCGCAGGCTCGGTGACTTGCGCGTGAGTTGGTGTATAGTGGTAGCAGTAGTAGTAGTGGTAGTAGCAGTGGTGGTAGTAGTAGCAGTAGTGGTGGTGATGGTAGTAGTAGTAGCGGTGGTGGTGGTAGTAGTAGTGATAGTAGTAGTAGTGGTGGTGGTGGTAGTAGTAGTAGTAGTAGTAGTAGTGGTGGTGGTAGTGGTAGTAGTAGTGCTGGTGGTGGCCGCACTAGTAGTAGTGTTGATAGTAGTAGTAATGTTGGTAGTATTAGTAGTGGTAACAGTAGTAGTATTAGTGGTGGTAGTAGTAGTGGTGGTAGTAGTAGTAGTAGTAGTGCTAGTAGTAGTAGTAGTAGTAGCGGTAGTAGTAGTAATAGTAGTAGTGGTGGTGGTGGTAGTAATAGTAGTGGTGGTAGTAGTAGTAGTAGTAGTAGTAGTAGTAGTAGTAGTACTGGTGGTGGTGGTGGTAGTAGTAGTAGTAGTACTGGTGATGGTGGTGGCGGTAGTAGTAGTAGTACTGGTGGTGGTAGTAGTAGTAGTAGTAGTAGTAGTGATAGTAGTAGTAGTGGTGGTAGTGGTACTAGTAGTAGTAGTAGTATTAGTAGTAGTAGTGGTAGTAGTAGTAGTAGTAGTAGTACTGGTGGTGGTGGTAGTAGTAGTAGTAGTAGTAGTAGTAGTAGTAGTAGTAGTAGAAGTGCACCCACCACACTTTCATTTTCACACACCTGGGCCTGGTGTTTAGACAGAGTCCAGAAGACCGTGGGCGGAATTGAACGCAGATGGCCGATGCGGCGTGAGCCCGCGCCTTGGCATGCCATCACAGCCCCTGGTCCGCGCACAAAAGATCAGGATTCCAAACAAGAATAAAGCGTAGACTCCTCAGATCCCAACTCAGTAGGAGTACCATTAAGGCCTACATTAAGAAGGAGCGATTTCAGCCGGGAAGGAGGACCGAGTAATCCCGTCAGTTGGCAGCCTTCCCTTAGCTCATCGTGATAGATTCAAGCGTGCCAGATCGTCCGTAGTGGGAAATATGCGCTGAGAGAGTCGACCTCACTCACGCCTGCCTCTTTTAGAACCCAGTCCAGTGTCCGGGCTGACAAGTCAACCGATGAGGAGATTAGGCGTAGTGGCTGACTCGTCTGCACGTGCCACACACGCGACCTGGTTCCCCGCGCACAACATACCAGGGGTGCCTAGTGCGCTTGCAGAAACACGTTCAGCATTATTCAGTACTTCCGCAATTTGATCACCGGACGCAATTTCAACATGCCCTACCTATCTATCTCCTCGCACTCTACCACAGCCTTTTGCACTACCTACATTTAGTGATCTCAAGGATCAACATGATCCCTTTTCAGTCCAGCAATCGGCAGTGGTTATGAGTATTTTGTTTTTTTAGTCGAAATTGCGTGTAGCGATGACATTTGGTCACTTTCTCAGCGCGGGTTTCTTACCATAGGTTGTGATCTCGTGCATGAAATCGAGTCCGTGATCGTCTGAACTGACCGCCAGCAACCAACTAACTTCCAAACATCTCACCTTATAGGGATATCGTGCGTAATTTTTACATCTGACCAATCAGCCACGACTGGTGGGTACGTTTTAGCCCTCGAATAGCGGTAGGAGTGTTTCCCTTCCGGTTTCAACTTATCTTCGACGGCGAGAGAAGCCTAAATAAAACCAGTCCAACAGCCAGGGTGACCACCTGACGACGTAAACGCCTTCCTTCCATGAAGTACTTTCGATATAATTTATCCCACGATCGCTTGGCTGCCTCGACCCATGGAACTTTGTTTTTTTGCTAAATAACTGAACCACACTCTAGCATATCCTTATCCCTATGCGGGTGTAAATGTGACCGTGCTAGCCGTACTAACTTGCCCCTCCCCCTCTCCATCCCTCGGCTTGACCGTGATCCCAGACTGTTTTACCATCTGGCCAACTACACGATCGCCCACCTGACCGCCATCAACCTCCAGCCTTTTTGGCCCAGCCTCAACGACAATCACCTCCTGCATCTGGCCAAACGCCTCTCCTCCACACCCACGACACTGAACCCGTCTCCTTCTCTGGGCATCGGTGCATCAGCGGGGCGTCGTATCTACCTGCGCGAGATGTTGCGAGAACAGACTGACGCCGCCAGCGTCCCCTCAGTACGCTACCACAGCTGGAACGCACGGCATCACGGCGTGGCCGAGCAGGCCTCTGTCCTCTCCGGTCTTCTGTCACCGTCGTCTTCCAGTGTGTCGAAACGAGTGCGCGGTCTGTCGGCCACCTTCTCCCAACCGACGAATGCTGCTGCGGCTGAGGCAGAGTCGTTAGCCTCATCCAACCCCACGGAAATCAAACACGAGACCGACGCTTGGGATGATGGGGAGACGCAGGTGGATGTCACTGAGCAGAAGCCGGAAGAGGCATCGGCGCAGAGACTGCGTCGGCTGGATATGTCCTGGTGTGGCAATTATCGATGTGTGAGTACTCGTCCCCCCCCCCCCTGCCCGCTGTCCCCTCTCTCAGCATCATTCTCCTGTTGCTGTTGTTAGTCCGCTGGTTTTGTTTGAGCAGGAAATTCCCCCCTCCCCTACACTTGACGTCATTGGCTCCCCAGGAAGTCCAGTCAGGTCACGCGGACCTTCGGATGTCGATAAACCCGGTTTAATCGTCACACTCGTCGGACAGCAATTGCGTGACGGCGGAGTGACTTCCTTCCGTTCCTAGATTTGAGGGTGTATGCTCCCGCCCATCCCTCTGGCACACCAACTGAAGATTCCAGGGTTGAACAGAAAGACTGCGGCCGAAACCCCATAAGATGCCCAACAAAATTCACCTTGCTGCTGTGCCGCCATGGCGTGTGGCCTTGTTAGACGTGACTCGTTCCCTAGGTTGGCACCGGATTCGCACTTAAAAGTGCTATTGACTCGTGATCCACGACTGCTTATTTGTTATACATGGAAATTTTCTTTACGCGTATCTTTCGCTGAAGGTCGTTTAACTGTCCGTCACCCATGGACGCAGCTGGTTGCGGTTGCCGGGCTAACAGGCAAGCGCCGACGTCATACGGTTCCTGTCGTTCCGCGGTATGGTTTCACGAAGTGCAGATGGAGTCTCTAAATGTACTTCTTAGGTCAACCTTTATTGCTCATCACTCGGCTGCCGCATGCAAGGGCATTTATGTGAGTTTGAGTAGAAGACAGATTGAGTCCGTTTTGTACTGCCAAAAAGCCAAGTTTTTGAACAGCTCTCCCACTCAACGTGAACTTACTCCGCCTCAGTGCAGGCCTGGTCCACTGGGTGGGTTCTTACTTCGCAGACCCGCTTTTTATCATCGCCCTTTCCACTTTGAGTACCTCTGTGTCAGACTGACTGACGATCAGAACTCACTCACATGGAATTATTTCAGCTGGTCTTGTCTTTGCACGAAGGAATACCGTTGTCAGCCAGCCATACCCAACTCCAGGTTTGGACAACCGTCTGCTGGAATCCGGACGAGCACGTCCCGTAACCTGATCGACGAACGCACATTCATCATAGTTGATATTACCGATGGAATCTGACAGGGCGGCAGACCCGTGGCTCAGTGGTGGGGCACCACACTTGATAGCGCTCAATGACCGATAAATCCGGATTCGAATCCCAGATTATCTAGGCCTGAGGTTGCGTATGGCCGGCTGACAGCAGCTACTAAGTCATGAATAGCCATCCCATCCTTCCTTCAGTATTACTGGTCATTGAGCGACGGCCTGCGAGGTCTTTGGATCGAGCCTCGGATCGCAGCGGGATGAGTATGTCCCGTAATCTGATCGGTGAACACACTTCCATCATAGCTGTTGCCTTTGTTCGCCAACTTCCTTCACAGCCGTGATATCGTATTATGCGGTCATTTAGCATAAAACACTTTTGCACAGCGTATGAACAGCCCCTTGGCAACTTCTTCGTCAAGCATGCTGGGGGGAGGGGGAAGCATCCTTCTACCTGCAGCACGTAGTTCAAATCTCAGCCTAAGAAAACCCGACATGCTTACGCATGGAAGGCGAAGAAAAGCAGGAACTTGTGGACCAGGTGTATGGACTTCCTCTAGAATAATACGGTCTGCACCGCTGCAGCATTGCGATGTTGTCTCGTACTACCCAAAAAAGGTGGATGAGATCATTTTGTCGCAGACTTCATGTGTCCGCTTCTGTTTCATGAAATCCGGCACGGGAGATGGTGAAGAGGCAGTTTCATTGAAACATGGCCTTATCACACTCCGTCGAGACAGTAAGGTGGTCTCTCGGGTGTTTCTTGCTGAAGAGCGTTAATCGAGCAGGTGTAGCTCGTCGCGTGTAGTGCAGCGCTACCCACGACATCGCTGAGACCGATTACATCAGGAATTAACTGAAACCATATCAGCTCAAAACTCCCACGTCGGGACTTTCGCGCCCCAGTACTTTCTCGTATCTTCATTGGAGGACAGTTGTTTTTATGCAGGACGCTTCCAGCCTGGAACGGGCGCGCTCCGCGAGCCCCTTGTGCTCTCATCGACAGCTTCAACCATTTAAACAAGCGGGCAGTGCCGCCACCGCCCCCGACTGAGCAAATTTGCGTTCCCTCTTATCCGACTCACAAGATGCACCTAATGCAGTCTGAGCTGCTTTTCTGCCGGACCGCTAAACAAACCTCGCAGATGTAGGGGATAGACAATTCCCACACCGATGAGGAAATCTCGAATTTCGTCTGAGATGCGAGCGGCCGTACCCAACAAGGCTTCGGGAAGCTCGGGTCAGGTCTGAGTTGTGTTTTTGCTCCTATGGGCAGTGCCTTTAAGTCGATGGCTGGCTGGTTACTCTGCCTCTGAAAAGTGTTGACCCAGGCTAAGTGCGCTGCGGCGTGTCATCTTTCTGGGCCTTGCGGTTTGTTGGCGTCTGTTATGTCATGATTCAGCAAACCGTGGCTCTCGCAGCCTGCTGTGCGCTGCCAGTTCTCTGCCGGTAGATGCGCTTGCGCTTCTGCTGAGTGTACAAGTCGTGTGCATGGTTGCCGAGTCATCCTCCTCCTCTTTCTGACCCATTTATTTCGCTGTTCTCTGGTACCTGCCGGTAGATGCGCTTGCGCTCCCGCTGAGTGTACAGGTCGTTTGCGTGTTTGCCCAGTCATTCTCCTTTCTCTGACCGGTTTTGTAGTTGTTGCTTAAAATCTTGGTCAAGTGTTTGTTGTGGACCCGGGGGGTGTGGTGGTACGTCTAGGCGCAGGTTCCGCCGTGCATGCCACCTGCGCCCACTTCCGCGTCCACGGCCCCAGGTGGGAGGGAGGAGAGTGTGTGTGGTAGATGCTGTGAAAGTCTGCTCTCACTGCAAACCAACTCACGCACAAGTCGCCGTGCCTGCTCCACCGTGCTGTGGGGCACGCGGTGGACATCGTCGTCAACGACGGTCGAACTGTCGTGTTGTGTATGGGCCAATAAGGTGAGATATGGGGTGGAGTGAGGTGTGCGGTCTCCGTGAAGGTAAAGACAGCTTGATCGTTGAATTTCAAAAACACGTGCCTCGAAGTCACCGTTCTGGCATAGAAGCTTGCCCGTCAGTGACCGCCCATGATAAAAAATATCTGATGGCCTCTATGTGATCGAGGTTCGCTAGTCACAACTAAAGAACAAAAATGGCTAGCAGCAAGGAAGTCTTTCATCTCACAGGCAGTTTAATTGGCTACTAGGGATCATTATCCGAGGTTTGGTTAGGCAGAAGACGACTGAACATAATAAGTCGAAATCGTACTACTTAGTAGTCTCAAATCATTCGTCGGATTTTCTTCGGCGACTGTCGTCAGCTCCCTGGTGGAATAAACTATGACCTCCCTTATTTTGTTCTGCCTACCTCTTCCGGATGACCGATATTCCCTGGGTGACATTTTAAAACGCAAGGATATTTGTAAAGGGTCACGTTTCAGTGTAGTCTGTAGAGTCAGGTCCAACTTCCTTAACTCCATTTTTGAATTCATGCAAATCGTCAAACAGGTTTGATGTATTTTTAGACGTCGCCTGCATTATTCGCCTCGAATGGAGAGCACATTAATGGTTATGACATCAGAAGAAGAAGCGATCGCTGGAACAATGGCTTTATTCGCCAGACGTTTCGGATTCTCTCTTGAATCAATCATCAGAGACAGTTGCAGAAAAGGGTGGCTAGTGTACAGGAAGTCGCAGTATTTATAGGATGCGGTCACCATGCTACCGCATACCTACAGCAATTAACCGTGCTCCCTTCATCAAGGATTGTTGCCCGCTGCTGCGCTAATGGCTTGGTGGCCGACATGCAAGCCGTTACTTGTCAAAATGTCATCACCCGTGTTGGATGCTGGCGTGATGATTGCTCGGCCATCTGGCTAGATGGCCTATAAATACTGCGACTTCCTGTACACTAGCCACCCTTTTCTGCAACTGTCTCTGATGATGAATTCAAGAGAGAATCCGAAACGTCAGGCGAATAAAGCCATTGTTCCAGCGATCGCTTCTTCTTCTGATCAACTAGTTCCTGGAACTCGCATCTTCGCTTGTATCGGTTATGACATCATCATTACATCGTTCGTCTTGCTTATTTTATGTTCGGTGTATTTGAGGAAGATAGATATGCGTAACCTGGAAGCAGGCATAGGCCCTGAAGTAAAAAAAAAGCGTAGTTTACTTGGTACCAGAGGAAATATTTTAATATCCAGCTTTACCCTTTACAGGGGGAGGACAATCTAGCCGAGACAATGAGACGAACTGGCATCAAATCTCCACACAATTTCCTTATCCTTGGAGAAAAGTGACTTACGTTATTTAGGTGCGCTGTATATGGCAACGCCCTCTGACTTGTGACCACTTCGGTAGCTCCCCTCCGACAGCTTTGGCGTATGATGCAGTTTTGCTTAATCCTAGGTCTTTAGTTTATTCCTCCTGCTCGTCCTTTAGTACAACCCTCGTCTCCACTCCCCCTCCCTGCCATCCCTAGGTCTCTCCACCCTTCTTCTGCCACTTCCTCTCGGAGGCGTGTCAGCAACTTACCTCTCTGCGATTGGCCGCATGTCGGATGGTCACCGATGACAGTCTGCTGCATATCATAAACACTTGCGGTCTTTTACAAGGTGAGTAGTTTGTTGCCACTCTCTCCCCCTCTGTCCCTGGTTGCCTATTTGCCGTTTGTTTTTCGGTGTCTCGGAAGCCTTCCTCGTCTTGATTTCATAGCATTGGTGGATGGCACGGCTTCCCCGCTTCTTCAGCATTCGAAAGTCGAATGTAGCCGCTTAGGTTGTCATATTTCCTCCCTGTTGAGATTTTTAGTTCCTTGAGGCTCATCTTCGGTCCCTGTGATGCTGTTGGCGGGGCATTTTGGTTCTGCATCTGTAGAGGGGGGAGCCTTGCGACGGCTCGTGACTCTACGTGCTCCTGTTTGCCTGTTCACCGCATCGTGAATCACGGCCCTCCACTGCGATCATGCACTAGGCAGACTCGGGCCACCCGAGTTCAGACAAGTTGACGTCTCAGCCAATAGGGCCTTCCTTGGGGTTGGTGCGGCTGAGATGTTAACCCCCCGGGCCGATTACAGAAACCTGATCGACCCAACGCAACGGGCGCAGCACTGACACCTTGTGCGGGCTTATGCAGCATCTACCGAGCTCTTTCCTCTCTCGTCCACCTTGCTTCGATGGTGAGACAGTGTTAATACGACCGGGGAGGGACTCTAGCGCAATTATTGGCAAAACGAATCAGTCCGTCTACGCGGGCCACGCGCGACCTACCCCCATTACGCGTGTCAGACTTTCGCTAGCGCGTGCGGATCCCACCCAAATGAGAATGTTATAAGGGCAACACCGGGAGTATGCCACTGCGGCCTGAATCTATTTCCTGGGAACGACTGACTTATCCCGTCCATTTTCAGCCCTTCAAACCACGAACGCCTCAGATTTGTCACAGTGTTGAAAGCTGTTCATCAGTATCGCCCACCTTCTCTCTTTTACCTGCCGTACACCAGTCGACTGTCCGTGCCTGTCAGCCCGCTGGCGATAGGATTGACCTCGAGCACTGATGCGACATGAAGGCCTACGTATAAGGCGTTCCATCACAGGCACACACACACACACGTACAGCCGTAGTTAAGAACTCGCGCAGGCTCGGCACAGCCTGATAAACGCGAACCGCGAGCCACTCTGGCCTGGCAGACCTACGGCACAGGCCGTCGTGGTGACCAAGCGAGTTCGGCTGATGATGGAGCAGAAACGCCATTTCAGACGGGGTATCTCTTCTCAGCTCACGGGTCATACCCCACATTTGCCTAGAAGGATTATTTCGATTGGATGATCGTATAGTCGCAGCCTGGTCTTTCAGCTGATCTCATGTCATATCCAGAACGCTAGGTAGATTCGGAAGAAGGCCAACGTAGCCGATCGCGACGAATTTCGCAGCCTATATGAACTTCGGGAAAGCCGTTGAAGTGCCCCACAACGGGCTCGCTGCAGATGCGCTGGACCAAAACGGGGCCCAGACTGACTCACGGTGCGCGCTGACCGGGTTGCGTGGTGCTCGCACGATTCCACACCCACTGGCCTGCGTGTGATTTGGGACACGTCATAGACGCCGCCTCAGTCACTGCACCCAATCCAATCACCTGCTGGTTGGCAAGCTGGAACGGCCGACTGGTCCGCGGGAGAGGGAACGAAGAGGGAGGCTGACTCGGAGGAATCAATGCTCACGACACTAGCGCATTCCTAACTATGATAAATCGTAGTCTGTCAGGTTGCCAATTGACGAGGTAACTCGGCGCCTAGTAGGACTAAGGGCCAGGCTCAGGGACTCCCCCTTAATATGACACTCACGCACGTGAGATTCGATCCGCTTTTATGGAGGTCCGGCACATGCTGTGGGAGCTAGGTTGTGCGTGGCACGCGTAGACGGGCTCCTTCGACTTGTCTGACACTGCGCCTAAGCCTGCTTCCAGTCGTTTCGACAGCGTTTTGTTATCGTAACAAGGTGGGGGTGAGGGGGACGAGTGCGATAGAAGCTGTGCAAGTCCTCCTCACCTATCCACTCGCCTGGTCCTCAGTGCTGCACCCGTCCTGTGGGATGCGCGGTCAAACTTTCGTGGCGGCCGGTGACCGTTTTCATTTGCTTCACTCGAAACCTCGGTGTTTTTACTGACTTTATGTTTTTAACAGGGATGCTGAAGGTCATTGTCTTGTCTGTGACAACGTCGCTGGTCTGCTCATCGCTTGCAGCCGGGCGATGCTCATCCGTTACTTCTTCAGTCTCAGGTGCCGCGAGTTTGATCGCCTGACCTAAGTGCACTTCCTTGATCCACATAGAGCAGTTGTCACCGCAGCATCTGACGACTGCACGTGAATCGTGGTCTTTCCGGCCTGCGATTTGGCGCACCTTGAAAGATCGCACCACTGACAAGTAGGGTAATTACGAATTCACCAAGTGCAACAGCGTCGGAGTTTGAGGTTGCAGTAAAGGCCTATCGGCACGACGCTTCACGAGACTATGATGCACGTGTCGCTCACATTTCCGAAGCCACATAAGAGCAGTTAGCCTGTCTCACCTCATCCGGTGGAGTTGTTTGTGACTCCTGGTTTACTTACACTAGAGTGGCCAGTTGTGCTATGACGCATGTTGGCGAGAGTTCTAGACCAGTTCAGCCACCGTCTAGACCGCTCTACAGTTTCCTTGATCCTCCTTGTCGTCTTGGATGGACAAGCTCTCAGGTACAGTCCTTGAGAACCATGGGCTCTACTGACGTCGCCGTTTGATGGGACCCCGACGGGCCGTTAATCAAAATTATTTATTTATTTATTATTTAATATAACTTGTCAATCTCGGAGACGCGTTTACTTTGTGTCATCTTTTGCCTTTTCTTTTTTTCCTAGAACTTGATCTCTCCTCGTGCCGGTCAGTGACAAGTGCTGGTTTTGTGCCTCTGGGCCGTCTGATTCATCTGCGCTGGCTCAGTCTCTATCGAACCCAGGTAGATGAACAGGCTCTCACCAATCTGGCCAACCTGTGCCAGTACTTGCGTCACCTGAGTCTGGGGTCTTGTGGATCTATTGCAAATGTGGACCCGGTTATCGCTCAGATTGCGGCCAATAACCCGTTAGTCTTTTTTGTCCTTCTTCTTTGCTGCCATGAAATTTAACTGTTTTGCCAGCAAGATTACGATGTGTCCTTGTGCCCGCCCTTACACCTCCTTTGCCTCAAGACTGTTGGAATCGCTGGATCTCTGGCGCTGTCGTTCACTCACCGCGGAAGGACTAATGCGATTGGCTGACTCTTCGCCGAGTCTGCAGCACCTTGATCTAGGCTGGTGCTCGGGGGTTGAGTCGCAGCCCTCTAATTGCTTTGCCTACCTCGTCTCCAGGTGTCCGAACCTCCGGACAATGAATCTCACTTCCATTCGGTACGTGATTATTTTCGGCTCTTTACGTCTTGGTATCCACCAGTAGTCCGTAACATTAATCAATCATGCCTACTTGATTGTTTTAAGTAGTACAATAAGTTTCACTGCGTATGGCCTCGTAAATTCCGACTCTATCTCTTTCTTTACGTTTTAGTGTCCAATGTTACTGCCATTTGGTCATGCCAGCGTTCCATAGACCAGTTGTTTTTCTCTTCTGCAGTTGAAAATAGGGAATCCACCAGTAGTCCGTAACATCAATCAATTATGTCTACTTAATTGCTATAGGTAGTATTTACGTTTCGCCGTATACGGCCTCGTACATTCCTACGTATTTTCCGTAGTCATGTGCTTTTCCCAACTTCGCATAATACGAACTCCGTTTTGCAGCGACAAGGCCCACTGATCTTGCACTTCTGGCAGCACTACTCATGAGTGTTTCAGCCAACTTCATGTAGCGTGCAAGTAGTAAGTGTAGGCAGAGCGCCACAACAATCACGGCTGAGTCCCATTTTAAAGGAGAAGAGGATGGACACCACTAGTGATCGTGTATTCCGCTCAGAAACTAGATTGTAACCTGAACCCCAACGTGCGACCTACTCCGGGACTGCGCGCGCATCTATCCGCCAGGGTGACGTTGGCGTGGAGGAATAAGAGCTACATCCGAGTCGGTCGCTGTCAGCTTGGTCAGTCGATTGGGTGATAGCAGAATTTTTGTAGGCGCTTGTGATTGGCGACCCTGGAGGGGCTGCATGTGTGCATGTTCGGCCTTCTCGGCACTGTAATCACCTGATTCTTACTGTGACATAAGCAATTCAGGCGCTACAGTATGATGAGTAATCGCCTTCCCCACTGCAGTGGGTCAGCAGTCGACGGTGAACCAACCGATACTCCAGCCACTTGACTTTTAATTGGTCTCATGGACATCGAGAGTAAGTCCCGGAAGTGTCGGCTTTCAGCAGAGAGCAGACAGCACGTTCGATTGGTTTTCTTAGTTACAAACCATATCCGTTCATCATCAAAAGTGCAGTGGAAAAGACCAATTTGGAGAATTGGGCGCAAGAAACGTCGACCGAACACGCCCAAGCGACGAATATCCTGGAGAGCGGAAGTCATGTATCGGCGGAAGGTCCGTGGTCCTCGTTTTGCGTATGTCACGACCATTTCAAAATTTTGACGGAGTCGAACGAGAGTCTTCTCTGCAGCACAGGCTACCCACCAATCTACCTGTAGACATAAGAGGTTTACGTGTTCACATAGGTGAGTAAGACCTGGGATCAGAGCCTACGATATCACCTGTGAAATTTGAGCGTTCACGTCAATCTGGCGTTCGACAAGGTTGTATCCTGTCGCCCATTCTGATCAACTACGCCATCGACTGGATTCTTGAAAGATCCCTACATGGTTTTAGCGGCGTTGAGTTTGCACCCGGACGCCGACTAACTGATCTTGACTACATTGACGATGTCATTTGACTACCCTCAGGCCTTGATGAGCTGCAGCCTGTGGTAAGTGGAGTCATTAAATCTGTCAGTTTATCCATAAACCCAGCGAAGACCAAAGTGCTTTCGAGCTGCATTCCTGATCGGGAGAGGACAACCCGTTGGGATCAATGGCTGTCACCTCGAAGAAGTAGACAATTCCGGATATCTCTGGCGAGAGGCTGCTGCCGAATGAGCAGACCTGAGTGTACCGTTCGTCCGTCCGGTCAGTCCTCTACAGTTGCGAATGCTGGGTTATCCACGTAGAAGATGAGTGAAATCTGGAGGCATTCGACCTCCACTGCCTGAGGACCATTCTTCGAGTGAAGTGCACCGACTTTGTCTCAAATGCGTTAGTCTGCACTCGCTGCAACAGTATGGCAAGGCCGTCCAAGAAAGACCACCGAGGTAGCTTGGGCACATTCTCCATCGTCTGCTTCATGAGCTCAAATTTGCCGCTCCAGATCTTGCGCCGTTGTCAACGAAGAGAAGGCTAGCATAAAACCTGGCTCGACACAGTACACCAAGACGTGGGAGAAGTTCTTGGTCCTTCGGCATTCAGTCTCCACCGCTAAAAGCGGCAGTGGGTGGGGCTGCCCTGATCCGCTGTTGCAGATCGTTACGCGTGTAGAGGTACACTTCGCGGCGTCTTTATGGGCGACTAGATCAGACACAATCACAGTTGTGCAAAGTACAATGTACGGTCTTCCTTAAATGAAAAATGCCCAGCTTGCAGCTGAGGTTCACGAAGACTGAAGATCTAAAAATTCTTAAGACCGAAAATTGTCCTTTCTTCGGACACGAGATCGGAAGAAGATTTAATTTGCCATCAAATGAGTGCAAGAAAAGATATTTTTCTGCACGTTTCCTACAAAATAAACTGGAATGTACAAGGGCATCGAAAATCGTTTGGATAAATTCCTCCTGCTTAAGGAGCCACTTTTTAGCTAATATATTTTATCGCAGGTGGCTATCATTTAAAAGCCGGCATTCTGGTGTAACCAGTATTTCACCGCCGCCCAAGTATTGCTATCTAACGAAAAACACATTCGAAGTTTCGGTCAACAGCTCATGAGATACGCCACACCGCCGCCCTCCACTGCTACTGTTTGTTGAAGCGCCTTGAAGGTCTTGGACAGTTTTACTCCGAAATTCCCCGAGTTCGTGCTGTGCAGACCATGTGTTCTCATTATACCAGCACCTTAAACCAGTCGTCCAATTCTTTTCAGTGACTTCCGTTGTGGTTTACCGCTCCCCTGATTCCCTGCAAGACAGTTGTTTTTGACAGAAGACGCCTCAAGCGATCGTCAGTTCGGCAAAACAGTAGGAGACAGCCAAGCCCAAACTCTCTCATGTGTTTTACATCGGCGTTTAACACCGACCGAGCCTTCTTGTCAATACTTTCCTTTTTGGCATCACGCATTGCAGGGAAGGTTAGAACCAAGCGGACAGGCTTTTGCACGATCGCGCGGCCGGGCCTAACCAAGTGAACAAGTCGGCATATCAAACGTGTCCTGCCACGCGTGGGCAAGGGTTCGCCTTGCCTGTTTTGGTCTCTCGATTCTCTTCAGCACCGGGATCGTCGCGTATTGCCCCCCCCCTTCCTCTGGGTACTCTCTGTTGGTTGTCTAAGGAGGCCGCTGTTTGCATCAAGTCAGCGTCCAGCGTTAGTTCCTGCACTGCGGCGTACACGACGGCATCACAGTGGCACGCACGAACCGCCATATTTGTCCTTACATTCCTTGCCGGGCATTTTCCCACTTTAACAAATGAAACTGCTGCTCGAGCACTGTGAGGGCAGCTCAACTGTTTACCCTTCTAATTGACAGTACATCGTGCTGACTACGTCCCCACACCCTTCAGGAACATGCGTTTCAAGTGAGACCTGCATTTCCCGCTTCGTCGGTGTTGAGGACTCTCTCCGCCGAAACATTTGCTGGTTTCAATATAAGGACCTCCTCCTCCTCCTTCTCCTCCTCCTCCTCCTCCTCCTTTACTCTGGTCGTAAATTGCCAACGTCGAAAGTTACAGTGTCTCCGTTACTGAATCCTAATTCGTTCCATTCATTCTTTTCAGTTCTATTTGTGAGACCGATCTGCAAGCCTTTGGGGAGGGTCTGGAGGACAGCCTGGAGAGTCTAGAACTTGTTGGCAACGGTTTGATCACCCAGACCGCCGTAGAGACCCTGTTGTCACAATGCAAGAACCTCCAGTTCCTCGATCTCTCCAACTGTCCCGGCATCTCCCTGCGCGCCTTTCTCTGCCTCTGCGCGAATCACCCCACCTGCAAAATTGTCTCCAACTACCATGCCTTCGTGTCGGCCGCTCGTGGCGCCGCCGCCGCCGCTGCCGCCACCACCAGCAGCAGCCCTGCGGAGCTTCCGCCGGCCAGGAACCTCCAGTCCCTGCCCGCACCTCCGCTCCGGCCTGTTGTGATTGAACCGGATGAAGGGTCCTGAGGGAGCAGGGCAGGTTTGCGCCAACAGTGCCGATGTGGCATCTGACCACCTGCTGCCTCCCCCCTCCAAGCAGAAACAAATGCTTACTTCAGTTTATTTGTCCAGTGCATCGTACTTTCGCTCCCACGTATTTCTCAGGGTTTATCTGCTCCTCAATCTTTTAGTTTTCCTCTTTTTCTTTTTTCTCAATTTATCAAAACTCACTTGCTTTTACAACCCCCCCGCTCCCCGCCTCCCTCGCCCGCTTCCTTTTATTCCGCCTTGAAGTAAAGGCTCATGATGTTGGCTCAAAAGTGTTCCTGACTCACTCATGAAAGCGGTACGGCGGACTTTTCTGGCCAAGTATAAAAGCCTCCTCCTGCGTTCAAAAAGAAAGGGGTAGTGCTCACTTGTCTATCATATTTTGGCGCCAGCGACTTCTTTTTGACATCGGGGGGGGGACGAGTTAATGGCTTCTCTAATACAACTGCTTTGCTTACTGTCGGACTCAAGTTTAGGTGAGCGCTCTCCTACGTCAAGAAATTCTCAGAATTAGTCAGTCGGTCTTAGGCTACTCGAGGTTGGGGTTGTACGCTGACCATTGGCAGCCACCTGGCACCGAATGGTGAGAAAATAAAATCAGCTGCCATAGAAACGAAAGTCTGGAGGAGTTTGTCGGATGTTCTCTAATTTCGGACAAAGCAAGTAGATCGCAGAGACTGGAAGGTTAATGTGCAAGCGAGTGGCCCAGCGCGTGAAAGTTCGACCGTTGCCAGCGGCGATGTCCGCCGGGTGTTCCACAGTAAGGCCGACTTGCGATTGTTGTGAGAACGAGCTTGCGCTGCATCTACCGCACTCATCCTGAGCCCGGTTTCGGTACAAAGCCAAGAAGACTGACGGCGAGATCGGACACGGTGACGGACAAAAATTAAACAGCCCGTCTGCGTGTACCACACGCGGCTTGTCCGCGCGCGGTATATCAGGTTTCCGCAGAAACGAGAGGCAACGGCTGCCAACTGTGTGGAGGTGCCATAGCGGCCACAGTAACGAACTATCGAAGCGTGGCTCTCAGCCCTGGGAGGGTGGAGTTATCCCCTCAGTTGACACGGCTTCTAGATCACCATGACAGCTGAAAAACGTTTCAGATTGTTTGAGGTGAGGAATAAGCTCTGAGTACTGTGGGGGCGCCGTCCCCCGAGTCGACCTTACGCCTTCGTCCCCCTCAGGCGGCAGCACACTGAGCGAGCGAACCATATGTTTCAGCGCGGCACGAACCTGCACCTTGGCGTACCGCCTCCACCCTACATATGTGGGATATGTTATGGAGTGTGCAGTCCGAAAAATACACGCGTACCCTGACCAGCCCCTCCTGTTGACCCGGCCTAACGTCTCCGTGGTTGATGGGGACAAAGTTGAGTATGCAGCAGCAGTAGGGGATGACGCCTGCTCTCCTGTCGCTGTTCACCGGACGGAGCAAGACCATGCCTTCAGTCTCGAAGTGACCAGAGTTTCTGCGAGAGATGGCAACCTGGGTTGCGATGTGGTTGTGTCGTAATTCACCGGCCCACAGTCCGTTAACAGGTGCGGTTATCTCACAACCTGTGTCGTCCAAACCGCCTGACGTCAGCGACAACACTGTTGAACCAAATTTCCGATCAAATATTACACTAACCAATAACACGGCTGGTTGAATTGTAATGGATAACGGTCTGGAAGCGTGTGATTAGGCAAATTGGACTTGTCGAGCACTGGGACAGTTTGTTTATTGTTCTGGAGCTTTCGGACTAGTGAAGAAGTCTGTTTTTAGAGATAGCAACAACAACATAGCATGCAGCAGTTATAAGGTGCGCCAGCGATCACCGATCGATGATGCAAGATTGGGGGTGACTGCAACGAGTCCGTACGTGGGCGCCTGATCGATTAAGCCATTATCGTGCCAAGCAAGAAGTTCGACCGGGTGCGGAAGTCGCTAATTTTAGTAGGTGCTCGTTGGCACGACAATTGCGTTCTATTTCAAACTTGTGCACCGCTCTGCTTCTTTTGTTAACGTCTCTGATAGCGGGTTTGAACTGTCAAGAAAATCAAATTATCATTGTAACTATCGGCGCCTCGTGAGACTCATTTCGTCGATTGTGTCGACACTTGAGTTTTTAGTTGACTTTTCAAAAGTACATGCATTTTAATGGGAGGATGATTTGTTGAAGTGTCCCATTGCATTTGTTTGTTCCACTGGCTTCGCCAGGGAATTGCTACGCCGCGATAATTTATCTGAGTTCCGCTGGCTCGAGGTTGGCGAGTGTCACCAAACCGTCAGCGTCCCTTGGTTTTCAAACCGTCAAATATAAATCCAAAATAGAAACTTATTTAAGCTTGGTCTGACAAGCCGAGTTGGGACGACGATGGCAAGTGTCTGTTTGCGTATTCGCATTGCCCGCTATGCTGTGTGCGGCGTTCCATGATGTCTGGGTGTCGCGCAGTATACCAGGCCTCAGGTGTCCCAATCAGTCCTGCTGCGGAAACTTTTACACAGCGACACTGTTATGACCCAGCAATCACATTGTGTAGGTGTTCTAAACAGAAGTTAATACCTGGTCACACTTTCTGCCGCGATTCCAGTCATATGAGAGACGCTTGGGATCAGGGACACATAAATAGAACGCTGACAGCATCAACCGGCTTGTTGACCTAAACGCCCATTATGAAGGCCTAGGATCTCGCCTCACAAAGCCGAGCCCCACGCCGCATCAGAGGCCGCTAATCCAGGCGTCCGCAGTTCTGCCAATTTACCATTCTCCCTCCCCTCCCACACGGGGAGCCGTAACTGTTCTCAGAACACAGCATGACTCCCTGCCCGCATCCCTCCTCACACGCTAATGGTCCGCCCGTCAATGTTTGTCCTGTCGCGTCTACTAGTCTAGTGTGACTGTCTCACTCTCTCTTTTATTTTGATTTCGTCTGACGACGGTTGGTGTCAGCAGCTCGAAAATTCAGAGTACAACTCGATTTTTTTCCGAAGAACCTCTTTCTTTTTCAAAATAGAATATGTTTATCATTAGCACCTCTTGGGCACTGCCAGTCTCCTTTAAATAAAGGAAAAATGACCCATCTGAATAACTGTTTCGTCAGGCTTTGCTTGATTCCTGTCCGTAGCATCCAAACGACTGATCAAACAATATTTTTCAGTCCTTTCTGAGGCATATCGAAAAAAGTGAAATTGTTAAATGCGTGAACCAGATTAATCCTGGTAAGTTAACGTCGGTGGCTTTGGTTTTAAGCGTTCGTGTTCAGGTAAGTATCATTATTACATGAGACTGAACGTGTTAAGTTGATTGGTAAAAACACGGAATCTCTGGTTAGGAATATTAGATTCTACTTGATTTTTTTAGTCGTCTAATTGGAGAAGTCGTCTATAAATATAACCAGGCCGTCGGTATTACAAAAAATGAACATCGTTTACTTGAACGGTCTTTTGAGTAGTTTAGTCAGAAACTTTCCTGAACCAACCGTAGGATGGACAAAACTAATGAGATGACCGAAGTGTTATACAGATAAATAATCACTCTGACAGTAGGACGTTCACACAAGTCCGCATGCTTTCGAACAATCAAGCGTCGAATCTGTCTGATAAGTAGTTGGAGAATACCCGTAGGCTATGTGAAGTTGCCTCTAGCAGCAAAATCTCTGCTGGGCTCATGTTGCAGTGGCAATGAATTCTAGACGGCGAAATGCTGTTGATGTTCAGTCCGATCATGTGCTTTTGAAAAACTTGGGAGAGAAGAAGAAAAATGACAGGGAACATGGCTGTCAACCATCTGCCCTGTGCGCTTTTGCATGCTCGTGTTTCGGGTCCAAGATGGTTGGTCAGACTTATGATCAACTGAATAAAATCAGAAAACGCTTAAAGCAGTCTTGTGCCAATCTTTCTTAAAATCAGTTTACTGAGGGCAGAACGGGCATGAAACCTTGATTACAGTGTTTACAGCGTAAAAAGACGGCTGTGTGCAAAAAACTTAAGCGCGTTGAAAGGACTTACTAAGACTGACAGATTAAACACGACGCCACTCCGTCTTGATCGGAACCAGCAGGCTTTTGCATACAATTCTACGAAATGGGAGACGTCTGCATACCGGAGATGCACTAATGCTCAAAGTCTCCCTTCGAAAATCCACGACCTTAAGGTCTTAGTTGCAGTAGGAAAGCTCAATTTCGTTTCCATAACGGCAACATGGCTTAAATTCGAAATTGCGGATACCGAGATATCGATACAAAATATCTGCCTTTTTACAGAGACCGTCAAAAAAGGCAGGGGTGTAGCAGTCGTAGACGTTAGGACAGAAATTTCGACATTTAGACGAGCGAATATAATCTCCCTTGAATATGAATCCGTCCGGATAGAGATAAAGAAGTGTAACTCGGAAAACCTAGAATTCCTGACGGTTTACAAATCATCAAACCTTCCGAGTGCAGCTGACGAATCACTCCTCCATTTGGTCATGGCAGTGGTTTATTGCTGGTTAGTGCCTACATTATACTGGGGAAATTTTGCAGTTGATAGCTCAAAAAATTCCTTTGACTGTAAGGTAATAGACCCCCCGTTCGGCCTCCCTCCACAGCAGTATGCAAAGACACTAATGAAATTTTGGGAGAACCAGGGAGCCAATTTCATCGACCTCATTTTTACGAAAGATTTCTCCAGCATTGACAAAGTGTATTTTAGTGTACTTCTCGGTGGTACAGACTTCATTATGCTATTGTGAAATTACTTGGTCTCCCCTTAATTTCAGAAGAGGACGAAAGATAGAATTGGAGGTGGATTTTAACATGCTGCTGAGCGAATTAGTGTTCGTCAACTGGGACTCTTCAAGAGGGATCCAGAGGACTACTACAGATCGTTTAAGACGATTTCGCTTGACTTGGCATGCCGCTGTTGTCTAGAGAATGTACAACGAACGACTAGTGGCCTTGCCTGATTTACTAGAGAACGGAATAGGCAGTTAAGAAAGAAAAATATTCGGGGAAAC